AGCCATGGATAAGACATGAAGCAAATTGTCATTCAATTGATTGCAACACTTTTGCACACAATTTGTCACAACTTTTACTGCTTTTCAATTCAAAAGTTTCAAAAGTTTGTCAACTTAGACGCCATTCATATAAGACGTGCGCTTTTTTGCGATCTATGAATGAAATCATGAATTCATTTCAATACTTTTATTCATATGATTATATGATTTGTGAAATAATTGAGGAAAACTTTTTTATTAAGTCATTGTAATATACAGTAAATTAATCATTGGATGACTCATACATCTATACAATTAACTCTCATTATAATAAACCATTTTTACCTTGTTAAAATACATAGTTAAAACATGGACCTAATTTTAATATTAGTTAGATAAAGCACGTATAATGAACGCCTGAATATATAATTAACTACTGTTGTACCCTACAAGTAAGTATAAATAATTAGTTTCAAGTTAAAACTATCTGGCTCAGTATGTTGAGGGTCAAATGTATTAAGCAAGAAATTTTAACCCAATATAAATGATCTATGACAATTTATCTGAATGAAAACTTATGAATAAATGAATGATTCATTTGTGGCACAAAAATATATTCATTTGTTCACAACTTTTTGAGTAAAGTTTTTGTAAGACAATAGCCAGAGATGTCTACCACTAACGACACCACAATCACTGGGATTAAAGAGTTGTCAAGTGTTTTGATATCAATGGAACCGATGGACGAGTGGTGCCATAAGCAGGTGACCCAATCAGTACCGGTGCCCACCACTGAACACGTCGCTCAGATTGTGGGCAAAGGCGGCATCAAAATAAAGTTTTTGCGGTCAATGACGCGCACCTGTATTAAGACCCCCTACCAGGGCGACGATCCCGTGTTTTTGGTGACGGGCAGTGCCCACAACGTGCGGATGGCTGTGGCGGTCATAGAGAAGGCCAGTCACCACTTCACGAGACGCATAGACAGCCGGTCCGTGAAGTGTCCGGAACTCCGGTAATCTTGTCTTATATACTCATTAAACTCAATAAACTTTGCATTAATTGCTATCTTTTGGTTACTTTTGTTTGTATTTTATTTATATTTAATTAATTTGATTGGATGTTAAGGTGAACGTGGAAGCGGCAAAGGATGCGATACACGATACTATCAATCAGGTCTTGAAGTTGAGGACACCATATTTGATCCAAACTTCAAAGCAATGCATTCATCAGTAATTCATATATTTCTTAATATTTTACTTCATCTGATTTTAGAATATTTTAATTTTTACTTAATTACTGAATACTGTATTATACTACTTGTAGTGACTGTTATGATTTATTTATTATAAAATTCAATAGATTAAAGAATACAGAGATTAAAATTATGTATTAAAAATTTGAGTGAGTTCAATAGCTAAATAACTTTATAGTTATATTACAGTATATAAAATATGATTAACTTGAATATAAAAAATTTTACTTTAAGATTTTTGTTGAATATCTCATTTAAACATCACATTAATATAATTAATACTAAATCTAAATCTAAAACCATAATCAATAGTTCATTTGGATTTGGTGTTTGGGTTAAACTCGACAACAATCGGCTCTTCTGACCAGAAACTGAACCCCTTTTTGATGGCATTACTCGACATTTGACTGAATTTATTAATCAATTTGAGATCCTCTTCGCGGATGCACTCAATGGTGGCACATCTCTCTTGAATAGTAACTAAGTATTAAAAAAATAATTTTAAATAATTATTAAGAAGATTGAAAAGATGAGACAAACCATTATTTGGCTCTGACTTTGATTTTGTGAACTTCTGAACGCTGGAAGTGAGCGGAAGAGGGCTTCGGATGTTTAATACTTTTCTGGCGTAAGTCTTCTGTCTGTCTCTCCACATGGTTTGTGGCAATTGCTCGGAATGGGCCGATATGTTGATCATTTTGTTGGCCATTTTTTGGACAGTATTGTCGAACCGATTCTGTTCTGTCAGACCCACAGTAGGCGTCCGATAGACCGATGAGTTATGAGTCGGATTTACTTCAACCGATATGTCGTTCAAAACTAAACACAATTTGTTTGTTAATTAGTTTTTTAAAAAATTCTCAAATTCTTGACAAATGATACCATCATATGATCGGTTCTTATCCTCTAATATACAACTCCTTTCGGGTCTAAAGAGTTTTGGTCGAAAGCAGCAGCAAATTAACCCCATTTTTGTTCAGCCATTCATCCATACGACTGACACTAAAGAAGTGTTTCTAATGTTTTGATTTTGTCTCAAGAAATTATTTACAAAACACTATCAAACTCATGATTAGTGTTTTATAAACAAAATCCTATCTATATTTCTAATAATAGACTCGTTTAGAGTCGTATTTGAAACTCTTAATTATAAACAAGGCATAAGTTTTGTAAATAGTGCTGCAAATTCAAGAAACGTTTATGAGTTGAAAGGGTAATGAAAATATTTAAACTCATTTGATCATTAATTAAACATTATTTTGATTGTAATAATTATGATAGTACAACAAACTTGATAGTCATATTGCATTCACTTGAGTTAATACTTTATTGGAAACTATTTTTCAATTCTTTTAACTTTCAAACAAATTATATTTACTCAAGATACATGTAGATAGATATATGTAGGCTACTTTAAGTGATTCACTAAATAATATTTTCAATTGAATACAGTATCTATTATGTTGCAGTATGTTATAATATATTAAATGGTGTCATACTACTCTACAGACTAAATAAAAACATTGATATATAAAATTCTGATTTTAATTGACAATTATAATTAATTAAATTAAAATTCATAACTTAAATTATTAAATTTTTAATTATTTATTATTTATAAAATTGAACAACTTCCAACATTTATCATTAGTCCAAACGGCAGTTGATTGGGATTTAGTGACAGATATCCTTTATGACATTCCTAGGAGTTTGTAGATTATATAATATCCTTTAAAAGCGATATTAAATTTAAAAATACAATTTAATACTTATTGTTATTATTTTATTTAATAGCACACAAATTTGTTATTAATTTTGCTCATAACTTAATTGAATTGAATTATACAAATACAGTACTATGATATTGCTACTACCGTATACAGCCATGATATTGTATCATATTATTAAACATAAAAATTATTAAATTGAAACCATAATTAAAAATTCAGTTATTTAAATTTATTATACATAGATTTACAGAGAATTTTGTTGACAGTATAAACGAGCTTGAATATTTATAAATTATAGCTATTTTAATATACGAAACATATTTTTAACAGCATTTCGGAGTCTTTTATTAAATAGATGTAAGAGAATTGGATTGACTGCAGAATTGCATAATAAAAGCCATAAAGTAATAGAAATGGTAAATTTTGGTGAATTGTTTGTAGAAAGCATGTCATTAAACATTAAAGTGAAATAAAACGGAGACAAACATATCATAAAAACAATGGCAACGATGGCCTGTGTTTTAGCACTTCTGAACTCTCGTCGCAAGAGTTTATATCTTTTCTCCACTTCTTGATCCATATGTCGTTTGATTTGTAGCCAAAGTTTGCCAATATTTTCACAGTTCTCCTGGAGCTCGGCTTTGGACTTATTTTTCATTATTTTACTATTAATCCTGTCTTTCACTTCGTTAATACTTCTGTTGTAAACATACACTTTTGTACCAAACTTTATGTAATTCTTGATTAAAATAAGTATTTTATAAATTAGGTAAATATTTAAAATTAAAATTAACGCAACTTGTTTACCTTATAAACTGCAAAATATATGCATGATATAGCAGCAAATGCTACCAAGTATATAATAAACTCAATCGATGTCTTATAGGCTATTCTTAGGGTTGGATCACAGAAATGATACTGAATTGCGGCTAAAAATCTTTGAGTGTCTCTCCGGCCGAGGAGTGGACTCAAGCCGATGAGTAGAGCGGAACTCCACGTTAGACTTATCATGAATATTATGTATCGCTTCTTACTATTCATTGAATATTTAATTCTCGTGACTGAAAGATACCGGTCTATAGCTATGCATAACAAATGCAAGACTGAGAGCGATATGCAAACGGCTAGTAATGAATAATACAAATCACAGCGCATTGAACCCCAAACCCAATCACTTAAATGAATTACATCGACATATGCCGTGATTGACATTACAATTAATGCCATCATTAAGTCCTTCAAACTTGTAGACATTAACAGATAATTAGACCAGGTCCTAAACTTTGGAGTTTTCATGATGACTGCGATGACCAGAATATTGGCGATACTTGTGATGAGTATTATTACTGATAACAGAATTGATGACAGAATTTGGAGAAAATAAATTTTCTCGATTGGAATAAATGAATTCATTATTAATGTTACATATATAAATAAATTTGAAAAACTTAGATCTATTTATTATTGCACTTTGAATATACATAATATGAAATAAAATAAGATTGCAGACAATTATCATACGATGGAATTATTTAAATGCATTTCCGGCGGCGACACTATATTTTTAATGTTTAGTATAAGTAGAGTAAACGGATATAGCTTGAACATATTATTATAATAATAAATATAAATGTTTGCATGCTTATTCTGATATAATTATAAGCTAAAAATAGAAATTACAAGAAATTACATGTAACTTAAAATAGTTAATCAATAATAATTATTAGATTAGTTATAATAAAAATATATGATGTACAGTAAACAATATCAGGGTTTAATAAATTTGTAATTTCAGAGTATCATTATTTATTATAAATAAAAAAATATACCTGTAATTTAAAATATTATAAAATCTTTTGAGATATAGATTATTTAATAAATAGAATTTGGAAATAATTTAAATAAAATATCATGGAGAATTACTAAATATTTATATTCTGAGAATTCTTTTGAAGGCATTTCTGAAATTAGTATTAAACAATGCATAGAGAATTGGATTAACACCTGAATTGCATAACAATAGCCACAATGTAAGAGGAAATAAACAATTAAGACCTTGTTGTCCAACCATTAATATTCCTCGACCTCCCTATTCCTGTCCAAATCCATGTTGTCAACTATGTGTTGCCAGCTAAATTATTGATCCAATTGTATTAACATAACCCTGTTTTCAATCCATTAATATTTAATTTATAATAAAATTATATTTTACTTATTTATAAAAATGCTTTTATAATTTAATATTAGTCTATTATAAAATTTTATAAAGTTAGAATTTTTATAATAAATAATATTATTTATTAGATTTTTTCTATAAAAGTAACATTACATAGTTTAATTTAATTAAAAGTTTAAATATTTACTTATTTATTATAAAAGTTTGATTTACTCATAAAATTAAGGAACATTTCTAATCATTATAGTAAAATGTCTACTCATTATAACAAACTATATTTTGTTTTGTATATTCAAACACAAGTTCGTAGTCATTAAATGGCTACAAATCTTGGGCACAAATTAGAGCTAAGAGTAAAATAACGTTATAAACCAATGGCTGAGTGTTAACTAAATATATTGGTTTCATTCATTGAACATAATTAACTCAATATTATATTCACTTTAGTCTTTCCAGTAACTCATTTCAAGTGAATATACATTTGATTTCATTAGTTTTATGAAGTATTATTGAACAATAAGAATAACATATGAATGGTTATAAATGAAAGTTGGATCAAATGTTTGACCACAACAATATTACCTATTTTACGAATTTTGTTTAATGCAAAAACTAATTGTTCATATTTATGATATGTATAAATGAAATATTTTAGAGAAAATGTTATTTTGATGATGACTTCCATGTTAAATTAAGACTGATAATTGTTAGATATCAAGTTTTACTGAACGTTAATTTAAGAAATAAATCAATTTCTGGGAAAATTATGAAAGTTAGTATTAATAACTCTAAACAGTGAGATTAAACACTAGAGCATACCTAGACAAATAACTACTCTACTCTTTGACCATATTATAGGGCATTGTTTTATATTTTTTATTATATATATTAAATAATTATTTCATTTTTATTAATAAGAATTTTAATTAAACTAAATTCATTTCAAAACAGCGTCTGAGAAAGGGAGTCTTAAATAAACTAGCATTGTAAACCACATCTATTTTATTTTTCATAGTAATACTTTTATATTAATATCAAGATAAATGAGACTTCAATTTAAACTGAAGTGATATTTATTAACTCATATATCACTGAAAACCTAAATTATTTTATTGTATTTTCCTTTTGACATTACAATAGAAAAGTGAAAGTAAGGCATTGAATGAATGACATCCTTTAGGATTAGAGAAATAAATCCCAAATAAAATAAATACGACGAGAAAAACATTTTTATCCGATTAGGCGTCCGATAGCTGTGTTCACGTAGAAAATGAAAGTTTAATTAAAAATAGTGTATTTCCAATGGTAGATAACAATAATCATAACCGTAAGTTGGATTCATCGAGAGACTTAATAATAATCAAAAAGGTTTCTGACAGCTATGTGTTCACGTAGAAAATGAAAGTTTAATTAAAAATAGTGTATTTCCAATGGTAGATAACAATAATCATAACCGTAAGTTGGATTCATCGAGAGACTTAATAATAATCAAAAAGGTTTCTGACAGCTAAATACATTTTATACAGATTATTGTACATAGATACAATTATTGGTAAGTTTTCATGCAATAGCACTTGACTGACAGCAAACTTATATTCATTAATATTCTGTATTATATCTACACTAATACTATTGGATTGGTTTTTATGCCAACAGGACTTTTGTTATTACGGTATATAAATTGAATTATTTTTGAAAATTCTATAACAAACAAGATTAAGATTACGATAGAGTTTTTTGCTGTCATATCTACTTATTTGAGAAATTATTTTAAATTATAAATATTTTATTTTCAGATATTTTTTGGTTTAAAACTAATTTATTTGAAACTTGTATGTTCATATCACTTATTTAATTTAGGTATGATTGATATTTATTTTAAAAATTAATAAATATTACAATAAATAAATTAAGTCGAATTAACTTACTTTCTATACTTATGCCCTGATAAGTTATATGTTGTTTTCAAAATTGATTCAAAAGCAACATCTTTTATCACTGCATCACAACTGAGCATCGATTAAATGGTACATACAGTTTAGGTTAGGTATTAAACACATACAGTTTATACTACTTAAAACTATTAACTATCATTCAACTTACAGATAAAGTAATTAAATAAATATTATAATAGTGTGTGGCATAATTATATTACAATAACACTATTATTACAAATAAAAATTTGTTCTGAATATAATTATTAATTTGAAATATTTAAAATCATAATGTTATTAACCATGACGTTGTTAAAAAACTTTTTTAAACAGTATATTTAAAATAATTTCGATAATAAACATTTAACAATAAAATGACAAAATATATCAATGCTATAATTAAATTATTAATAATTTTAGCTTTATTTTTATATTTTCTTTGAGAATAAAGTTTATCAGGATTATGACGCCAAAGGAAATGCATTAACAAAAAAATTGTCATAAAATAAATGAATTTTTTATTTATAACATAAAAAGTATACTGTATTTAACAAATTTAGGTTTTGTAATTTCATGTTATGACTGTTAATGGATTGTTTCAAAAATGGATCAAAATTTAATTGCCAGCGAAAAGTTATATTTAAACGTTTATAAAAGTAGTTAAAAATATAAGTATTATTATAAGTAGTGTCGCAAACCGTTATAAGACCAGTATTGACGCTATGATTTCTGTGGATTTAACTCTTAATCTAGGTTAATAAACTAAAATACCTTAAGTTTTACTGATTTAACAGTCGCCGTACTATCAATGCCTATAACGGCTTACCTGGATATAATTCATTTGAGTGATTGGGATTGGGGGCCATTTATGTGTGATTTGTATTACCTATTGACTGCTGTGTGCACTTCGGCTTCAGTTCTTCACCTATTGTTTATAGCCATTGATCGCTACCTAACGGTCACTAAAATCGAGTATTCAATGAATAATAAGAAGCGATACATAATTGTTATGATATTATTTGCCTGGAGTTTTGCTATACTCATTGGTTTGACACCAATGCTCGGGTGGAGAGACTATCAGAGGTTTTTGGACAGAATTTATGAACAAAAGACATGTTTCTCGAGTCTAAATATCGCTTATAAGACTACAAGTGTTATAATCTTATTCTTCGGACCCGTCTCTATCATGATTCCACTCTATTATGCTATTTATAAAGTATTATTCTTTTAATTATTATAATTTTTATATAAAAAAAATTTTGAAAAAATATTCATTATATTTAATATAATTTTTTAGAAATCACTTGAATTCAGAAAGAAGTCGAAAATTATGAACAAAACTGGATATCAATTGCGAGACATTAGCTCATCAGATGTGAATAAAACAGAGGAAAGTGATGTGAATATGGATTTAAATGCTCAGAAAGATTGGGATAAAAATGTGGATAAAAGGGAAAAGAAAGGCAATAAAGAGGACATAAAACAGGAGAAATTTATGAGAAGGGAGTTTCGAGTGGCCAAGACTTTAGCGGTTATTACAGTGGTATATATAATATGTTTGCTCCCGGTTTATATGACTCTATTAGTGACTGTCCTTAAAAACGATAACCATTTACCAAAACTTGTATTTCCTCTCACTTTGTGGTTATTATTATGTAATTCAGGTGTCAATCCAATACTTTATGCTGTATTTAACACTAATTTTCGAAATTCTTTTAAAAAGATTCTTAAAATATAAATATTTCAAATTAGCCAATGTCATTCTGAAATAAAAACTAAATTACATTAAGTTTTATTTGTTAATAATTTATTTATATTATAAATATCTAATTGAGAGTATCTAAAATGTAATTAACTATCAGTAAAATTTAATTTGAAAAATGTATTTATTAATATTATAATAGTTTATTAGTAATTAGAAATATTGTAACGTTATAATACATTCTTTGACGTTGTTAAAAATTTATTTATTTATTTATTTTTGTAATATTTAAAATAGCTATATTAATTTTTAATATATTTCAAAACAATGGTTATCAATTTATTATGAATTTAACTATTTTTCACAATTTTCTTTGAGAATAAAGTTTATCAGGATTTTGACGCCAAAGGAAATGCATCAATAAACAAAATATTGTCACAAAATGAATAATTTTATGTTTATATAGTAGTATTTATATAAAACAAATTGAAGTTTTGTAATATAGTGTTTATACGTTTAATGAATTGCCTACAAAATGGATCACAATTTAATTCCCAGCGAAAAGTTATATTTATTGCAAATATTTGCATCGATTTTTATATTCATAATAATATTCATCACAGCGTTTGGCAATATTCTGGTCATAACTGCGATACTAAAGACACCTAAATTGAGAATTAGATCCAATTATTTGATTTTATCCTTAAGTTTCACTGATTTAACAGTTGCTGTATTATCAATGCCTATAACCGCTTATCACGATATCATTAACTTAAGTGATTGGAAATGGGGACCAGTTATGTGTGACCTCTTTTACATGTTGACCGCTGTGTGCACTTCGGCCTCAGTTCTTCACCTATTGTTTATAGCCATTGATCGCTACCTAACGGTCACTAAAATCAAGTATTCAATGAATAATAAAAAGCGATACATAATTGTTATGATATTATTTGCCTGGAGTTTTGCTATACTCGTTGGTTTGACACCAATGCTCGGGTGGAGAGACTATCAGAGGTTTTTGGACAGAATTTATGAACAAAAGACATGTTTTTCGAGTTTAAATATCGCTTATAAGACTACAAGTGTTATAATCTTATTCTTCGGACCCGTCTCTATCATGATTCCACTCTATTATGCTATTTATAAAGTATTATTCTTTTAATTATTATAATATAACTTGTTTATTAATTTATTTTAAAATTAATGAATTTTAAATAATTTATTTGAATAGAAATCTATTGAATTCCGGGAGAAATCGAAAATTATAAACAAAACCAATTATCAATTGCAAGACATTAGCTCTTCAGATGCCAACAAAACAGAAGAAAGTGATGTAAATATGGGCTTAAATGCTAAGAATGTTAGGGAAAAGAGAAGTAATAAAGAAGACATAAAAAGGGATAAATTTATGAGAAGGGAGTTTCGAGTGGCCAAGACTTTGGCAGTCATTACAGTGGTGTATATAATATGTTTGCTCCCGGTTTACATGACACTGTTAGTGACTGTCCTTAAAAACGATAACCATTTACCAAAACTTATATTTCCTCTTACATTGTGGCTATTGTTATGCAATTCAGGTGTTAATCCAATTCTCTATGCATTGTTTAATACTAATTTCAGAAATGCCTTCAAAAGAATTCTCAGAATATAAATATTTAGTAATTCTCCAAGGATATTTTATTTAAATTATTTCCAAATCCTATTTATTAAATAATCTATATCTCAAAAAGTTTTATAATATTTTAAATTACAGGTATATTTTTTTATTTATAATAAATAATGATATTCTGAAATTACAAATTTATTAAACCCTGATACTGTTTACTGTACATCATATATTTTTATTATAACTAATCTAATTATTGATTAACTATTTTAAGTTACATGTAATTTCTTGTAATTTCTATTTTTAGCTTATAATTATATCAGAATAAGCATTCAGACAATTAAATTTATTATTATAATAATATGTTCAAGCTATATCCGTTTACTCTACTTATACTAAACATTTCGTAGTAAATACATACTAAACAAAAATATAGTGTCGCCGACGGAAATCCATTTAAATAATTCTATCGTATGATAATTGTCTGCAATCTTATTTTATTTCATATTATGTATATTCAAAGTACAATAATAAATAGATCTAAGTTTTTTCAAATTATTAATATATGTAACATTAATAATGAATTCATTTATTCCAATCGAGAAAATATATTTTCTCCAAATTCTGTCATCAATTCTGTTATCAGTAATAATACTCATCACAAGTATCGCCAATATTCTGGTCATCGCAGTCATCATGAAAACTCCAAAGTTTAGGACCTGGTCTAATTATCTGTTAATGTCTACAAGTTTGAAGGACTTAATGATGGCATTAATTGTAATGTCAATCACAGCATATGTCGATGTAATTCATTTAAGTGATTGGGTTTGGGGTTCAATGCGCTGTGATTTGTATTATTCATTACTAGCCGTTTGCATATCGCTCTCAGTGTTGCATTTGTTATGTATAGCTATTGACCGGTATCTTTCAGTCACGAGAATTAAATATTCAATGAATAGTAAGAAGCGATACATAATATTAATGATAAGTCTAACGTGGAGTTCCGCTCTACTCATCGGCTTGAGTCCACTCCTCGGCCGGAGAGACACGAAAAGATTTTTAGCCGCAATTCAGTATCATTTCTGTGATCCAACCCTAAGAATAGCCTATAAGACATCGATTGAGTTTATTATATACTTGGTAGCATTTGCTGCTATATTATGCATATATTTTGCAGTTTATAAGGTAAACAAGTTGCGTTAATTTTAATTTTAAATATTTACCTAATTTATAAAATACTTATTTTAATCAAGAATTACATAAAGTTTGGTACAAAAGTGTATGTTTACAACAGAAGTATTAACGAAGTGAAAGACAGGATTAATAGTAAAATAATGAACAATAAGTCGAAAGCCGAGCTCCAGGAGAACTGTGAAAATATTGGCAAACTTTGGCTACAAATCAAACGACATATGGATCAAGAAGTGGAGAAAAGATATAAACTCTTGCGACGAGAGTTCAGAAGTGCTAAAACACAGGCCATCGTTGCCATTGTTTTTATGATATGTTTGTCTCCGTTTTATTTCACTTTAATGTTTAATGACATGCTTTCTACAAACAATTCACCAAAATTTACCATTTCTATTACTTTATGGCTTTTATTATGCAATTCTGCAGTCAATCCAATTCTCTTACATGTATTTAATAAAAGACTCCGAAATGCTGTTAAAAATATGTTTCGTATATTAAAATAGCTATAATTTATAAATATTCAAGCTCGTTTATACTGTCAACAAAATTCTCTGTAAATCTATGTATAATTTTAAATAACTGAATTTTTAATTATGTTTTCAATTTAACAATTTTTATGTTTAATAATATGATACAATATCATGGCTGTATACGGTAGTAGCAATATCATAGTACTGTATTTGTATAATTCAATTCAATTAAGTTATGAGCAAAATTAATAACAAATTTGTGTGTAATTAAATAAAATAATAACAATAAGTATTAAATTGTATTTTTAAATTTAATATCGCTTTTAAAGGATATTATATAATCCACAAACTCCTCCTCTTCCCAAACCGACGACATTAGTCTGATTTATCGTCATAAAGGATATCTGTCACTAAATCTCAATCAACTGCCGTTTGGACTAATGATAAATGTTGGAAGTTGTTCAATTTTTTAATTAAATAACTAAAAATTTAAGTTATGAATTTTAATTTAATTGTCAATTAAAATCAGAATTTTACATATCAATGTTTTTATTTAGTCTGTACAGTAGTATTATACCATTTAATAAATTAAAACATACTGCAACATAATAGATACTGTATTCAATTGAAAATATTATTTAGTGAATCACTTAAAGTAGCCTACATACATCTATCTACATACATGTATCTTGAGTAAATATAATTTGTTTGAAAGTTAAAAGAATTGAAGAATAATTTCCAATAAAGTATTAACTCAAGTGAATGCAATATGACTATCAAGTTTATTGTACTATCATAATTATTACAATCAAAATAATGTTTAATTAATGATCAAATCAGTTTAAATATTTTCATTACCCTTTCAACTCATAAACGTTTCTTGAATTTGCAACACTATTTACCAAACTTATGCCTTGTTTATAATTAAGAGTTTCAAATACGACTCTAAACGAGTCTATTATTAGAAATATAGATAGGATTTTGTTTATAAAACACTAATCATGAGTTTGATAGTGTTTTGTAAATAATTTCTTGAGACAAAATCAAAACATTAGAAACACTTCTTTAGTGTCAGTCGTATGGATGAATGGCTGAACAAAAATGGGGTTAATTTGCTGCTGCTTTCGACCAAAACTCTTTAGACCCGAAAGGAGTTGTATATTAGAGGATAAGAACCGATCATATGATGGTATCATTTGTCAAGAATTTGAGAATTTTTTAAAAAACTAATTAACAAACAAATTGTGTTTAGTTTTGAACGACATATCGGTTGAAGTAAATCCGACTCATAACTCATCGGTCTATCGGACGCCTACTGTGGGTCTGACAGAACAGAATCGGTTCGACAATACTGTCCAAAAAATGGCCAACAAAATGATCAACATATCGGCCCATTCCGAGCAATTGCCACAAACCATGTGGAGAGACAGACAGAAGACTTACGCCAGAAAAGTATTAAACATCCGAAGCCCTCTTCCGCTCACTTCCAGCGTTCAGAAGTTCACAAAATCCAAGTCAGAGCCAAATAATGGTTTGTCTCATCTTTTCAATCTTGTTAATAATTTTTAAAAATTATTTTTTTAATACTTAATGTTTAGTTACTATTCAAGAGAGATGTGCCACCATTGAGTGCATCCGCGAAGAGGATCTCAAATTGATTAATAAATTCAGTCAAATGTCGAGTAATGCCATCAAAAAGGGGTTCAGTTTCTGGTCAGAAGAGCCGATTGTTGTCGAGTTTAACCCAAACACCAAATCCAAATGAACTATTGATTATGGTTTTAGATTTAGATTTAGTATTAATTATACAGGTATTCATGTGATGCTTAAATGAGATATTCAACAAAAATCTTAAAATACAAAATTTTTATTAAAGTTAATCATATTTTATACTGTAATATAACTGTAAAGTTATTTAGCTATTGAACTCACTCAAAATTTTAATACATAATTTTAATCTCTGTATTCTTGAATCCATTGAATTTTATAATAAATAAATCATTAGAGTATATTTATAAATTAGAATTTAGAATTTTAAGACATATATTGATTATAATTAGCAGAAAAAATCATAACAGTCACTACAAGTAGTATAATACAGTATTCAGTAATTAAGTAAAAATTAAAATATTCTAAAATCAGATGAAGTAAAATATTTAAGAAATATATGGATTACTGATGAATGCATTGCTTTGAAGTTTGGATCAAATATGGTGTCCTCAACTTCAAGACCTGATTGATAGTATCGTGTATCGCCTCTTTTGCCGCCTTCACGTTCGCCTTAACATCCAATCAAATCAATTAAATATAAATAAAATACAAACAAAAGTAACCAAAAGATAGCAATTAATGCAAAGTTGATTGAGTTTAATGAGTATATAAGACAACATTACGGGAGTTGCGGACACTTGAAACGCGGGGTTTTTGGGGTCGCCTTTGGGTGAATTGATGCGAGTATTGGTCTTGTCTTTGATTTTGATGATATTGGATCCGTGACGGCCCACCACAGCGCCCACATACTGGTCCGGCACTGTCACCAAAACAGTCACTTCCCCGACGGCACACTTCACGGACCGGCTGTCTATGCGTCTCGTGAAGTGGTGACTGGCCTTCTCTATGACCTCCACAGCCATCCGCACGTTGTGTGCACTGCCCATCACCAGAAACACGGGATCGTCGCCCCGGTAGGGGGTCTTAATACAGGTGCTCGTTATTGACCGCAAAAACTTGATTTTGATGCCGCCTTTGCCCACAATCTGAGCGACGTGTTCAGTGGTGGGCACCGGTACTAATTGGGTCACCTGCTTATGGCACCACTGGTCCATCGGTTCCATTGATATCAAAACACTTGACAACTCTTTAATCCCAGTGATTGTGGTGTCGTTAGTGGTAGACATCTCTCGCTATTGTCTCACAAAAACTTTACTCAAAAAGTTGTGAACAAATGAATATATTTTTGTGCCACAAATGAATCATTCATTTATTCATAAGTTTTCATTCAGGTTAAAAATTCTTGCTTAATACATTTGACCCTCAACATACTGAGCCAGACAGTTTTAACTTGAAATTAATTATTTATACTTACTTGTAGGGTACAACAGTAGTTAATTATATATTCAGGCGTTCATTATACGTGCTTTATCTAACTAATATTAAAATTAGGTCCATGTTTTAACTATTTTTTTAAATTTAACAAGGTAAAAATGGTTTATTATAATGAGAGTTAATTGTATAGATGTATGAGTCATCCAATGATTAATTTACTGTATATTACAATGACTTAATAAAAAAAGTTTTCCTCAATTATTTCACAAATCATATAATCATATGAATAAAAGTATTGAAATGAATTCATGATTTCATTCATAGATCGCAAAAAAGCGCACGTCTTATACGAATGGCGTCTAAGTTGACAAACTTTTGAAACTTTTGAATTGAAAAGCAGTAAAAGTTGTGACAAATTGTGTGCAAAAGTGTTGCAATCAATTGAATGACAATATGAAGTGACTTCATGTCTGATCCATGGCTAGAATGGCGTCTAAGTTGACAAACTTTTGAAACTTTTGAATTGAAAAGCAGTAAAAGTTGTGACAAATTGTGTGCAAAAGTGTTGCAATCAATTGAATGACAATATGCTTCATGTCTGATCCATGGCTTCCGATGAGTGTCTCGATGAATGAAAAGCAATCACAAGAATGTATGGACACCGGGGAGGAAGCGTCTGAAGAGTGGTCTTCGAGTGGAAGCGAAGGTGAGAGACATGTGTGCGGTGTCTGTCCCTATAGTACCACATGTTTGGATCAACTCAAAGCCCACCACTTGTCTCACTGCAAGACAGATCCCACACCATATGTGTGTCAATACCCAGACTGTCACCGATCTTACGTACGCTACCAATGGTTCCTCAAACACATCCAAACATCACATCTCAACCAACGGTTCACTCAATTAAAGGTAAACTCACTCACGAGGGGACACTTTATCAGATAATACACACCATTTTGCGCAACATGTGTCCACTCGGACATTGGTGTTGTTTAATCACATGTTTTGGATCAACTCTTTGACCTTTCAATGGGTTAACTCGTGTTTAGGACATGAAGTAAATGGTGACCGAAGTTAGAGTGAGAGGTCACGGGTTGAGTGCAAACCACTGACACATTAGTATTGATTATGTTTTCACATTAGCTGTCAGTTAATGACTAGTTATAAGACATTCAGTGAATACTTGTTATAAAAGAAGTAAGTTTGGCATTCTTAACTTAATTAAATGCTTTGGTAACTTACGTCCGTAACTTACTAGTCAACTTGTGAGTAAACCTGGTTTTCATAGGGAGTAAACAGCAGTTGCTTTCGTGGCTTTGATTTGACGACACGAATCCTGAAGACTGTCACCAAATGAGCCCAATATGGGAACCAATGGTACCTAAAATGAAGAGAAGTGTGGGAAAGATGTGTAAACCGATGGGTGAGTCCATATTGATTGGACACAAGATGTCAATAGCGCCGTCCAATAGTGGTGTCAATGAAGTGGTGGTGAGTGGTATGAATGCCAACACTGGGGATCAGTTATGGAAGTGTTTGGTGACCACTTGTGGCCAAGAGTTTCGTCTGAAGCGCTCACTCAGAAGTCATTACAAGTATTCGCATTCAAATCGATACAACAAAACCACCAAAACGTTAGATTTACTGACAACTAATGACACCAATAATTGTTTTAATGATTATAAACATAATTCATATGATGTGAACACAATCTCTGTCACTAATTGTAGTGATAGTCATGTTATTGATAACAGTATTATTGATAGTCTTACTAATTGTAACTAAAGACGTCATTTATACCAAAAACTGTTATCCAAACACAAACTTACGTTAAAGTTACTAACAATAATACTCTGTTGTAGAAAGGTCACGTAGCGGCTAGTGAAACTGTACGTAACCGTCGTTTACGCACTCTAACCATACTATTATATAATTACCGGTGCTTTCAATTGATCAATCATATAATTATCAATTACTCAAAATTATTATCAAAATCATATGCATTAGGTTTTTAATTTTTTAGTATTTAACATTGTTTTACTTTTTTTTGCATTTAAGTTATATCTCTAGTTATAATTTCAAACTTTCATGTTATTCTGAAATTTCATTTCTGCATTTCATAAATTTCTGTATTTTTAATAACCGAATAAAATTATTTTGTAATATACCGTAATAAAAACCGAGTAATTTGTGTAATCTAATTATTTTTTAGGTAGCATCTTTTTTTAACGCTTACCTATAAATATGTTTAATTTGTTTTTAAAAATTATTTAGAGAGAGAGAGAGAGAGAGAGGAGAGAGAGAGAGAGAGAGATTAGAACATCAAATCCTTATATTAATGAAACTACTGTAATAATAAATCAATCTTTAATCAAGTATTAATTTTTGAAAAAATATTTGTAAAAAATAAACTAAAATCTTAGATGGAAAGCAAAGCATTTGCTATTTTTTTGGCTTATTTCTTGCCAAACCGTTTCCATTGCCTTAACTGCGAGTAAAATCAATAATGTATTAGTTTTTCTAATATTAATGATTAATAACTTGAGTGCGAAATTGATTGTGAAAATTATGTGCGAAAAGAAGTCAAAAAACAGTTACTCTGTAAGCAATCCTTACGCCTCCCTTACCGTCAATATTACTCACATAATGTTTGCAAACCATTGGACTGAAAACAAATTGAAAACTATTTTCCATTTTATATTCCATATATTTTTTATAATTTTATTTTTAAAAACATAATTTAATTAAACGAGGACAAATTTTGCTTAAAATTATATTCAAATCGTGTGTCTATTGATCGACTAAATAATTAATCAAATTTTGCTATTACTTGTAAAACGTCTTATTAATCAAAAGACATGAATTAGTTGTAATACAAACGACCGCTTAATATATGAATAGTCGTATAACTACTGGTATTTAATCAATCAATTAATGCAAACAAGTGAATGGATTGTATGACATTTGCGGCAATTATTGCGAGTCTATACGAAATGAATGGCATTTCAGCGGACATTCATCTCTCGACACAAAAATACTGATTTAATACTTAAACTCAAACACTCGACAGCTTTATATAAAGGGCTTATTTTGTAATTTAGTCGAGATTTTGAGCTCATTTTCAACACTCCACTCATATATGGCCTCAAATCGTATACGCAAAACGTGATCTGAACCTAATGTCTGTCCAGTGAGGGTCTCTCACTAAAGCGGCAATCATATGGAAATCTAGGGGACAGGGAGTTAATGGATAATTACCCGCATTATTAAATGCATGGTTCAATTCATGAGAGACGACCCCTTCCTATGGGGTCTTAAATTTAGTGGCCTTTAGTGTCAAAAAAAGTCATTTAATTAATTTATTGTTCGTTTATATATAACCGTATTTTAGATATCCTTTT